AAATCATACAACACCAAAATTTTATTTGGTCTCAAAATGTTGCAATGCTCTCTTTCACTTTATTAAACCAAATCTATCTTTTCTCACTTCCATCCGTTCCTCTTGAGATAAGCAGAGGGTATATAATCCAAGCATTCCAAATGTAGTCTCCAACTGATAACACATCCATCAATATAAGCATAATCAATTAGAGTTTTAGTTTTCATTATATTTGCCTATAGTGCTTTTAACATTATAGCCAGTAAATGTTTAATTGTATATTGCTGACCCATTCATGACTGGCTAAGAAAATAGGATTAACTAAGAATCATCAGACTTGGGTTCTGTTCTGTGCTACTTTGCTGTTTCTTCTGTTTCTTTGTTTTTTTAATGGAAAAAATGAATGCACATGATGAAAGACATCCTTCATCACACATAATTGTTCTATCACCACAATTATTAATTCTCACATCCTCTTCTCTGAAAACAAACCATTCTTCCAGCTTACTTTTCAACTATTCCTACTTTTATTGTTCCTTGATCTCATGGGATCCCTTCTCTCTACTGAGCATCTGGAATTATCTTTTTGAAACAAAAATCAGATGATGCCACCTTCCTCTTTAGGATAACTCAATGGTCTTCTCCATTGCTCTTAAAATAAAGCAAAGCTCCTAACATAATCTGCAAAGGAATCCTTGTGTTCCTCTCCATGTTTCCAGCTTATTTTGCCCCATACTCCACCTCCCTCTCTCTACTGCAGCCACACTGGCCAAAACTCAGAGAAACTCAGCCCCTCGTCTTTGCCATGCTCCCCACAGGCATTGGTCCTGTACTGTGAAGTTCCCTTGGCCTGGAATGCTCTTCTTTCCTTCCTCACTTAGTTAAACCTGCTCATCTTTCTGGTCTTAGCTCAATTGTCACTTCCTCAGAGATGCCTTGCCAATTGCCCTAATGAGGTTGAATCCCATGTTATAAACTCCTGCTCCTCTCTTTCTTTTTTTTGCATGCATAGTTGAAATTTTATATCCAATCATATAATTATTTAACTGATGTCTATTTTCTCAGCAGAATATAATTCTGCTAATGCAAGGCCTTTTTCTAAATTTACTCCTCACCAAATCCTCAGCACAGGCATGCTGCTGGTACTCTGTAAATATTTCTTGATTGAAAACACAATAAAGTTCCATGAGGATTCTCAAGATAAAGACATTAGAAGGTCTTTAACTATAATATTTCCTTCAATGCATGCAATATAATATATTCATCTAAAAGGTAGGTATAACTAGAGAGGTTTTTCATAAAGTCGTTCTTCATGTCTATTTTTCTTCAGTCTTGTCTTCTTTTCTTTGATTTCACTTGTGATCTGAGCATAGGAGCTGGTGATGAATGTGAACAGAATTCCCTAATAAGAATTTGCTCTCAGATTATACATTGAGAAATAATGCAATTTCTTCTTCTTTAATATCATTTCCTTGCTGTTCATTAGCATTAACATGGCTATTATATACTAATACCAGAAAATTCATTCAATATGTCTCTGCCTTTTTACGTGTATCTCTGTTTTCCATTATTTTATTACCATAGATATTTGCAAATATTACATTTCCTATAATATAAGAAAGATTAACTCTAAAAGTACTCATAATTTCATAGGAATAAACATGGAAAATAGATCCTAATGGCAAGTTCATTTAAATCTACAAATATCTGTTTTGTAGGTGAAGTTATTTTAAAATGTTGGGTGAATAAAAGGAATGCAAAATTATTTTAATCTTTATAAGACCGCTAATGTGAAACAGTAATCAGCACTGTAAGAGACCAAGACTACCAGAGGGGGAGCAGGATTTTACAAATGACCTACATCAGTTTTTTACCAAAGGCGTCTCCAGCTATCAGGTCAGATTCAAGCAGCTGAGGCAATTCAGGCTGCCCCTGCCAGCACTGTAAAAGGGGATTGGAGAACAATGTAAAAGGTAATCCAGAGCAAGTGTGGCTTTAAATAATGAGGACTTCCACTAAATATCAGAATTTTAGAGTGAATGAAGTGTAAAAGATTATCAAGTTCAAATCCATTATTTTATGCATGGAACAAACCAAAGTTAAGAGGGAACAAGTCATTTGCCTAAGGCCACAGACCATGTTGATGGCACAGTCAGGACTGAAAGCCAGTTTTTTAGTGTACAGTTTTTTCCACTACATTATGTTGCCTGACCACATCAGTTCTCTAAGATTCTCTAAAAAAAAAAAGAATCTAAACAATAAACCCCACGTCCAGATCACTTTAGTAATGTGAGAACCCACAAACATTTTCACAAAAACAGTAAATGGGCCACATCTTATTGGCCAGCAAATATTAATATGAACAAGTAACCATTACCCTCTGTTTACTTAGCGTTCTTTATATTTCTCAAATGCACATGAGAAACATTAACAAAACTAATTTTCTAAATGACAGTGTTTCTCTGTCACCACATCTCCTTCCTGAGTTAAAAATGCCAATACAGGCTTTTAGGTAATAATTGCCATTTATAAAGTTCTGGCAATTTTTTGCAGAAACGGATATTGACACAAATTCATAGAATAATGCTACATCAGTGGTATATTTTTCAACCAGCTCTCCAATAAAATGAAATGAAATAAAGTTCTGGTCTGTAGGACTTGCTGATTCTTGTGTTATAACTACAGCTACCATGGCTGATTTCCAGCTACCAAGTCTATACTAAATCGCTCACAAAATTCCTGAATATTTAACAATTGGCTTCAGTGCACTAGTCAGAGGCAACTCCTGTACACCACTAATACTACAAGGAAACCGATAAATAATCAAATTCAACCCATTCTTTTAATGAAGAGGAAACTGAGTCTCAAAGGAAGAAAGTGATTTGCCTCAAGGTCATGCAGTGGCTGAGCAGGCATTAATACCCCAGTATTTCACCTCAATCCCCCTCATCAATTAAGTAAAACTTTATGCAATAGAAACACTCAGTAGTCTTCATATGATTGTAGAGAAGTGCCTCTCAAAAGACCAGCAACATGAATAACTCCAGAGAGCCTCTTAGAAATGCAAATTTGGGGCTCCCCTCCAGATCTATAAACCATAATCTCTTGGGCCAAAACTGTGTTTCAACAAGCTCTACTAGTGGTATAGATCAAGGAGAGAGAACCTTTCCTCAACACCCACCTATATTTTGTTTATGAATGATATTCAATTACAAAATCTAGGAAAAGAGCTATTCTTTTTACATTCGTTAAAGTGGAGATACTTCATCTAAACCTTCTATCACAAGCCTGCAATCTTTCACATTTTCCAAGACCTAACTTTTTAAAATAGCTTAGATTTTTTAACAAGAAAAAGTTGAATTATTTACCTTCCAATTCTCAACCACAATATTTTATAGAACAAAACCTAACATATAATTGTATGTCTTAGCTCTGTCACTTTTAATATTTCTTTTAAGAAAAAAACATTTTTTTAAATAAATATTTATGTTTCAAGGTCTGCCTTACCTCTTTCACAAATTAAGGCAGTCAATAGCAACAGGGTGTCCTCACGCTAATCCACCTTGTCAACTGATTACATAGTTACGTATTTGTGTTTTGGTTTATCTGCTACTTTCTATTGTTTTGCTATGTATTCCCAAATCTTAAAATGCAGAACAAAGGCAAATAAATATTGTCTGTTTTGTTTTCCTCTTGTGATATTTTAGAGGTTGGAAAATTTACAAAATAAATATCTTTTCAGAATTCTTGTAAAAGCATTACAAAAGAGAAAAGAAAATCAGGTTAATAGTTTCCCAAAATTTAAAAATGCCCAGCTTAAGCACAATTAAATGGCAAATATGTATACTGACATTACTTTGAAAATAATCAGACAGCAATCTAAAAATACACATCTATGATTCTTAATTCATTATTCATTATTAATTTCATTTGGAGGGTAAACTTAAATCTGTTTAATTTATTTGCTCAGAAATGAGAGCTAATAAAGTAAGTGTTGGTAGGTAATAGATTAATGAAGATGTTTGGGAAGAGGATTTAATTATTTCCACACTTCCTAGCAAATATAAAACTAGTTGGTGAGAGCAGGTCTTGGCCTTGATAGGAGATAGCTCCACTGGACGAGGCAGTAGATATTTTCAAGGAAACTGGAAGATTCACTTTATAATTCTCCAATTACCTGGTTCTGCCTGAGCCTGCATTTTCCAAGCACTTGCCAGAAAAACTTTGGAACACAGGAGATAATCACCTTGAAATCTACCACGTTTGAGGTTTTTTTTTTTTTTTTTTCCTTTTTGTCTTTTTTCATGACTGGCATCGGATCACAACCCTCAGTGTCGCACCCGTACCGGACTGGGACCGGCAACAGGATCACAACCCTCAGCGTCGCTCCCGCACTTCGCTCAGCCAGTGAGTGGCCGGTCTGTATGTGGCATCTGAGCCCTCGGCGGGAGCGCCACCACACTCCCAAGTGGCGCACTGTAGCAGTGCGCCACCGGGCCGGCCCCCACATTTGAGGTTTTTAAAATTTTTATTTTATTTTATTTTTACTTTTGGGCAGCTGGCCAGTATGGGGATCAGAACCAGTGAGGCTGGTGTTATACAGCTGTGCTCCAACCAACTGAGATAACCAGCCAGACTCACTTTTGAGTTTTTGAGATTCCCTCCACTAATACTGCTCAAGAAAAGTAGCTACTTTCATAAGATTCATCATTGACTTCACCAGCCACACAGTTTGAGAGCAAAATACTGTCATGGCTCTTCATCTTTTGGCTCAGTATATGCAAATCAGCCAGCACTCCCATGTATGTCTGCTCAAGGACCTCTACTTGCACAACAAAAATCAAACAAATACCACTCTCTAAAATCAGCTGGAATCACATCTCAAATTTCAGTCCCCTTGTACAGAAGAGTCTTCCTCACCAAGACACCAATGAATGGGTACCCAGGGTGCAATAACAGGCCCTGCCCACAGAGGCAAGCACGTGAGTTGGAAATGGCACAGAGAGCAGAAGGGCACTTACGGTTGGCACAGCTTGATCAGGTCCTGGTCAGTGGTGCCTGGTGGAAGGCCTCGAATGTACAGGTTGGTTTTACTCAGCTGTTCCCCGCCACTGTTGTTGCTGCTGTGGTTGCTGCTGCTGTTTGTGCTGGGGCTGGGCGGAGCCATGGGGTGGGGAGCTGGTGCATAGGACTGCTGGAAACAGAAAAAGCTGTTACTGGAAAAACAAAAGCCAGTGCCTGTTCACAGGCCAGCAGCGCAACTCGAAAGCAATGCAAGCTTCTCGTCCCCTTCAATGCACACACGCACACATACATTTATGTCACGACTCTGGGCTGCTGCTGAGAACATCGTTTGCTCTTTTCCCCTCTGGCCCTGCATTTGGATCAGCATATGTCAGCCATAAATGGGACAAAAAGAAGTTACCAGGTGCTCCTGGCAGTAGCATTTGGCTTTTGAATTTGTCCCTGACCACACTGACTCACCTTAGACCTGAAAAGTAGAATGTTAACTCTCTCCCTGATAAAACAAAACAGTTCGCTCCTGGCACCCAAGCTCTGTCCCTAGCTTACTGATGACAGCCAGGCATCTTTGGTTTGCCTCTTTCCTTCGTTCCCTCCTTTTCTCCAAGGAAATGTCCTCATATTGTTTTCCTCACCATTCCCATCCAGCACAATTTCTGACACATAGAAATCATTCTATAAATAGTGATTTTATAAATGAATAAATTACTAAATGAATGAATCCATCATAGCACTTTCCCCATTCTCCAAATTGCTTCTTCATGCTGAATGTCCCTTGTTTGCAAGACTGAGTCACCATTCCCTCCTTATACTCAAGACTGGCTTTCGATTAGTCCAATCCAGGGTCTCAGCCTAGGCACGATGGCCAATCTGGACAGGATAATCCTCTGTTGTGGGGCTGTCCTGTTCATTGCAGGATGTTCAGAAGGACCCTTATCCTTAACTCACCAGATTCTAGTAGCACCCATCTCCCAGTTGTGATAAACAAAAAATGTCTCCAGATATTGCCAAATGTACCCTGGCGGTGGTAGGGATCTCCCCTATTAGAGAATCACTCTTTCAATCGGTCACACCATTTTATGACAAAATGAAAATGATAAAATGACTCCAAGAAACTTGGAATATACAGTGTGAGGGTGTTTATAATGACACATGCTAAAATTAGTAGATATATTTATTCATTACACTTATTTCTTTTTTATACAGGCATATCTTCAAAAGCTGTCAAATGACACTGACTGTCTTGGTCAAGTCCCTGCCATGTTTCTTATTGGCCTTGTGACCAATAGATGGTGCCTTAACCTCTCTGAGGTGCAGCTTTCTCATTAATATAAATGGGATAATAATAGTACTCTCCTGTCATAGGGTTTTTAAGAAAACACAATGAACTGATACAAACAACATGGGTCCTGGAAATTAGTAAGCACACAATAAATATTAACAAGAATAACAATAATGTTAGTATTTGTGGTTTGTATCTGCCTTGCCAGTGATATTAGTCTATAAAAGTATCCCAGATTTTCTCAGTTGTATCCCTGAATCTTACCCAAAGTCACACTGAACACATTCATCAAGATTCCGCTGGGGGAGTTTTTGGCTAGGTTCTAACCCAAAGACTGATTAGCTGTTTTATCAGGGTTGGGAGGTGTGTACTCATCAAACAGTATGTTTGGGGCACAATAGCAAAAAAAGTATTTATTCAGAAGAGGTGAAACTATAAAACTTTTTGTGCCATCAAACAAAGCTAAGAAATAAGAGGATAATTTGAGGGAAGAAAAATGTACATTGTACCTCTGTGGTCTCATTCTAAAAAAAATTCTTAAAAACATAATGGGTAAATTGTACAGATCCTGGGAATAGAGCTGAATGTGGCCTTGATCACAGAGAGTTGAACTCTTTAGGTAGGATCCTGCAGTGGCTTCCCAGTAGACCCATTAAACAGTCCTTAAAGCCCCATGTGATTCTTTCTCTGACTATCCCTCTGATCACTTCTTGCACCAGACTCAATCCCACACCCAACCTTTCACCCTTTCCATTCTCAGCCTTACTCTGCTTGATTGGCTTTACCCATCTCTGTAATTTCAAATTAAGTATCACCCTAAGCCCTCTGTTATTTTCCTCATAGCTCCAGCATATTTGGACTCTGTCTAATGTGTTTTTGGCTTACTTATTTAATGCCTGTCTCTAACACTAATATGCATGCTCCCCAAGGGCAGGGAATGTGTCAACCCTTATATGAAAAGCACCTAGCCTAGTCCCTGATATATAGTGAGTGCTTACTAAATACTTAGGCTACATCATGTACAATAAAAAGGGAATAAGCACAGCACTTAGCCTATAGAGACAGGAGGCCAAGTTTCAGCAGCACCCAGCCTTATTTCTTGCTGTAATCTTCTGCTTTACACCTTCCAGGATTTCAGATCGAAGTGCCACTCATTACACCTGTTCTCTCATCTCCCCATTCCCCACACCAGCCACCCATCACAATTACCCCATTTCTTTTAGCATTGCTGTCATTCTTCCAACCTCAGTGCTAGAAAACTTAGTGCTAGCTTCATCTGTTCTCTAATTCTAAATCTCAGAATATAGTCAGCCACCAAAATTTCTGACAGGTTCCTAAAATCATCCTTTTTTTCTGAATTCACATTGTTTCCCTAAGCCATCTCAATATGTAAAGGGCTTCAAGCTTCCCATATGGTCTCTTTTCCTTATTAAGCTTCTTATTCATGGGTGGAGGGATAACAGAAAATTGTTAGAACCCAGAGCCTCCAACTCCCTTCTTTGAAATAAACATTTTCCTCAACTATTTCTTTAAATATAATTTATTTAGCGTCAATATCTTTAATGTAGAATTTTAAAATGAATTACCTAGAAGAATACTTTCTTTTCCAAATATTTGAATTAAATGGTATATATTCATTGCCTTTTAGAATTTAATATCTGCATAAAACTCAAGTTTGTTTGCTGGCATGAAAAGCTATGACTTTCTTCCCTACCTAAAGTATTCTGTTTTGTACCTTGGAATCCAAACAACACTTAAGCTTTACCTCTTTTACAGCTCTGCACACAGTAGGTGTTCAGTACATGCTTGCTGAAGTAGCTTTTTGGTCTATCTCACAATGGATCGGATGGGATTTATCTTTTACTTCCCTTATGTGCTTTATTCTCTTTAAATTTCTCAGGGCCTTTTTAAAGCTGTTTGCTATGACTTTCACCTCCTCTCTTTCCAAATTCTTTGAATTCCATTCTGTACTTAGGCTTCTTTTAAAATGAGACTTTGTTTAAAGCAGTTTTTCCCATTGCATTGCCTTGAAAACCACCAGGGAGCCAGAAAAATGTCTCCAGCTCTATGTATCACAGATTAGATGGACCAGTTCAGACTGAGCCCTTGACTGATCAAATAAGAAAGCACCAGCTACAGAATGATCAATATGTGTTTACTTAATTCTCCCCACAACCCCCGCCCTGAGCTCTTTGCAAGCATTTCCATAACCGGAACACCACTTAGTAAATTGCATGATGCCTAAAACAATAAATGTGCCCTCCAAAGGGCCCAACATATTCACTGGGAAAAAAATTCAACAAAACAATCGAAAGCAACCAAAGTTGAGATGAGGATAGGAAACCTGTACGTATGGAAATGAGATACGTAATTTATAAATTGGAGTGGGAGCACCAGACTTTTAAAGAAAGGATGTATTTCAGAAGCCCTTTGAAAAATATACACAATCAAAGGTAGTTTTCTGTGTCATATTCCTATTAGTAGACTTTCTCAGTGTTATAGAACCAATCAATCCACAGATTTTAATACCCAATACAGGGACTCTTCTTAATCTTTTATATTTCTTTTATCTGTTGATGAAGCACCCATGGATTCAGGTAGCACTCAGGATTATAAATCACTTTTTGGTTTTAAGAATTATAAATTCCTTCCTCTCCACCCATTTCCAAAATAAACATCTTTTAATCAACAAAATGTTGGCAGAAGGTTCCCAGAATGCCTGACAAATGCACAGGTCTAAATTAATTAATTTGTGAAAAGCAAAAGCAATTTTGTATGCTCTGACTACAAAAGACAGATGACCAAACCACAGCATCTTTAAAAAAAAAAAAAAAAGAGTGTCAATAATCTCTAGGGGTTAATGAGTTGCAGCAGCCACTTTCCTGATTAAAGCAGCTCTGCTTCCTTTCTCAATTCTTTGTCTTTAGATGGAGTTGGAATTTTATCATTGATTAGCTTTTAAATCATTTTGTGGTGCTGAGGAAGAGATTTTAAAATGTTAGTAAAGAAAAATATTTTCCTTCAGATAAAATTGACTTTGCTATATTGCTCAAAGTCACAGTTTATAAATCCTATTTAGGAGTAGGGAGGACTTGCAGTCTGAGGTTACTGAACACTGTAATGCTGTGCTGTGACAGGGCAAGGGGGTTGCTATGAATTTGCAGTGTCAGCTTGCTTAGAAGCAGTAGAAATCACAGATTTTCAGAAAAGGGGCTTTGGATGACACTCTGATTGAAGGAGAGAGACAGAAGACTTCTCTTGAAGCTGTACATGCTTGGCATGTATGCAGATTTTTCATAGATATTTATTTATGGTGTTATTGCTGGGAGAGTCTGTTAGGGATTTTGGAATAGGGACTAAAGCCCCTTAATCACACATTGTGGCTGCTAAATCAGAGGACCAGTTTCAGTGTCCTCTTTAGGAAATTAAATAAAATGACCTGGCATCCACTTTGGAAGATGCTATTCTTAAAACGATAATTCTAATAATTATAGGTAACATTTGTTGTGTGCTTGCTAAGTATTTTATACATTATCTTCACAACAACCTAATGAGGCAAATATTTCTCTCATTTTACAAATGAAGAAACTGAGGCAGGAAAAGGGTAAATGATCTTCTCAAGGTCACACAGCTGGAGCCCCAATTTAAACCCAGGTAGTGTGATTCCAGAAGCCATGCAGTCTTCTGCAACACTACAGAACTTCAACTCTTAATGATATGGGCACCAATAAATATAAATGCTTCCTTCAAGTAAACCTCTGGAGGAAGACACTCTGGCAGAAGCTCCGATGCATCTAAGCAGAAGCAAGAGGAAAGGAATGATGACGATCAACAGCAGACAGTCAAAGTGAAGGTTAACAAGCCTTTTCTCTCTAGCAGAATTTAAATGA